CCCGGGCCCTGCTGGCGTTGTCCCCCTCGGGGGGATGGGGCAGCCTGCGTGGGGCACCCAGACACACCGCGGGGGGCTGCGTGGGTTGTGTCTGAAATACCGCCGCGGAGGCATCCTGCTGGAGGCAGCCCCCGGGAAACGGCCGAGCCCTGAGGTGTGGCTTGTCATCGCTGAACAGCCCGCTCTCTTTCAGAAGCCGTACGTGTGCGATTACGAAGGCTGCGGTAAAGGTTTCACGAGAGAGTTCCACCGCGCTCGACACCTTCTTACGCACACTGGGGAAAAGCCGTTCGAGTAAGGCCAAATTTTTTACTTCTTGAAATGGGTTACGCTTGCCCTTATGGAAGCGAGGGGGATTTAAAACTGCTGTGTGGGTGGTACAGAGCGTGGGTTGGTATCATGAGTACTGCCATAACTCTGTGCATGCAGGGCGAGACGTGGGGAATCTCCTTAGCCTAAAACCTCCTATCTGGCAGTGATCCATAATAGATGCTTAAAGGAATGAGCAGATCTCTCCTTAGAATACAGAATTGAAAGAAGGAAGGACAGTTCTCCCCTAGTACTGAGCTCTTAATAGCTGCATGTCATGGATTAGGAGCTAGGAACTCCTATGTGTTTTATTAAAAAACTCTTCTGATATGTTTTCCTGTGGCTTTTGAGTGTAACTTAGCGTCTGGCTTTTTGTGTCTTTAAAGCAAATTTTTATATTTGGGTTCTGAGTTTTGGTTATTCTTTGTGTACTCCTCTTGTCCAGTGATTTCTATATCTGTTTAGGAAACAAATCGCTGTTTGAGAGTGATAATAAAAAATGCAGTTCATTTGCAGGTGCACAGCTGATGGATGCAATCAGAAATTTGGAACAAAGTCAAACTTAAGGAAGCATATCGAGCGCAAGCATGAAAATCAGCAAAAGCAATATGTGGTGAGTAATTTTGGGTATTTGATACTGTGATACTGTGAAGCGGAGGCTAAACAAGCTCCTTTTTGTGTATCTAGTGAAATACTTCAACTTGTTATTATGTGGTACCTGTATGAGTTCACATACTGTGATTGGGACTTCAGCAAACACATGTGGATTAGGCTGTCATTATTTGGCCTCTAATGATAACTTAATTTCCTAAATAGTGCGACTTTGAAGGCTGTAACAAGTCTTTCAGGAAACATCAACAACTTAAAGTTCATCAGTGTCACCACACCAATGAACCTCCCTTCAAGTAGGTGGATAATTTTAATAATGAACTTTAACAATTCCATTTAAACACTGTAGATGAAAAGAGGTGCCTTTTCTCAACCTTTTGAGGTTTGGCATTTTAAAAAAAAATGGCATGAATTTGTAGTCATGGCTGCAAGCACATTTCTTGTACTAGTCCTTTGCTCAGTACTCTGTTTAGAGAAACAGTCTTAGTGCTCTGTAACTTCAGCATTCCAGACATTTCCTTAGGATTTATTACAGGTTCACAGGAAAAATAAACAAAAAAACCCAGTTTTGAGTTCACACAGTCTGAAATACAAGCATAAGAGCTTGCACAGTAATGAAAAATGCAGCTACCTCTGTTTTCCAGTAAAAAGCAGTGGCTTGGCTAACACTGAAGTGAGTAGTAGCTTAAAAAAGGTGAGAGGCTTGGACACCAATCTGAGAAGCTGTGTGTTGCAACTCCATTATTTACATGACACATCAGTATAGATCTGATGAAAGCAAAGTTTAGTCTTGTATTTTTTACAGGTGGAACACACTTTACAGGAGTGTTCCGCTTAAGTGAAGTGCACTAGTATGGTTGGGTGACGGGCACAAAAATACTGTTAGTGCTCTGCTACCGCTCTGACTGCTAGATCTGTACAAGCCACTTAAACCTTCCACTTTCTATCTCTCTTTTATGTTTGAAGAGTCTACTGTGTAGGGAGGATATGAGGCTTGATTTCTTTAGCTAAATCTTAACTTACTGTGTACATGGAAATCATACTATAGTTTTAACTCTCGAGGGGATCAGAGTCCTCTATTAGAAACATATTATGGAATTTACTTTTACAAGGCGTGGGGGGACACAGAACACATCTTTAGGCAAGGAGAAACTTGCATTATTTTGTCCACTTTAATTGTTTTTGACTTAAAGAAAAAATATGTGATGCAGTGAAAGAAATTAAACCAGTGTACTTATACCTAGATGTAATAATGAAGGATGTGGAAAGTACTTTTCTACTCCAAGTCGACTAAAGCGGCATGAGAAGATACATGAAGGTAACACAGTTTTTCTTCTTGCCTCAGTTACATTTTAGCAAAGGAAGAAGGACTTCTTCCAGTACAGAGAGTATGCAGGGATGTTTGACAGACATGAAAGTATTCTGGCCTAGTCATCCAGACAGACAAAAGAAGAATACCCATTTTGAATAGTCAAATGGGATACAGTTGCAAGGCATTGCAGTATTCAATTAAAATTACTTGTGGCAGGCTGAACAGAGCTCAGGATTCCTTCAGTCATTTCTTCTAATGTGCTTCCTTGTCAATAATCCATCTTCTGGAGATAGGCTAATGGTTAAGGCGCTAGCCTAGATCTCCAGAGGTTAGGATCAGTTGCCAGTTCTGCCACAAATTTCCTATTGAGCCTTGGCAAAACCATGTAGGCTTGCACTTTTAAAGTTATTAATATACCTATGTAAAAGTTATTTAAGTGGAATCGTCAGGAGATGGTCATATATGTTTGAGCTAATCGTGCTACACTCCTATCCATTCTTTCAGTACTGTTGAGGGCTAAGCCACTCAAGAAAAAAAAACAACCCACAACCCAAGGGACTAGGAAGAGTATCCAAAATCTGCGATTCGTACTGCGTTCCTTTCTTAAGACAGGGACTTGTTCATAGTTGTTTGACCTTCCCAGTCCTAGGATTTAAATAGCGTTGACTTTCTGTGGTTCGTTTAAAAATCATTCTGTCTGCTTAATAGAATGGTAGAGTCTCTTTAGACTCGAGAATATTACTGTATGGTCAAGATCTTATGTTTTTAATATGTAGTACAAATATTTATATAGAAATAGTATATATTATTACCGTTATTTTCGTCTATTTGAGTGAAAGTGTATGGCTGGTGATGAAGTAGTTTTACTGAAGCAAGGAGAGAGAGAGTTTCATAAAATCATTTAGGTTGGAAAGGACCTCTGGAGATCATCTGGTCCAGCTCCCTGCTCAAGGCGGGGTCAGTTAGACCAGGTTGCTGAGGGCTCCGTACAGTCAAATTTTGAATGTTTCCAGGGGTAGGGATTCCACAGGCTCTTCAGACAACTTGTGTCAGTGATACAAGGTTTCTTCCTTAAATCTATTAGGGTTTTCTCATATTCTAATTTGTTTGCCTCTTGTCCCATCACCATGCAGTATGGGAGGAGAGGAGGAATACTGGCCTTTAATTTTCAAACGCTGAACGTGGAGTTCCCCCTTGTAAAACTGGACTGTGTTTGCCAGAACCTTTGTGATTGTAAACATTTGCCCTGTCTAACAGGCTATGCATGCAAGAAAGAAAACTGCTCATATACTGCAAAAACCTGGACAGAGCTTCTGAAACATAACAAAGAAAGTCATACAGGTAAACTCCAAATGCTTTAGTAAATAGAACTTAACTTTTGATACAAATAGGAAACAAACTGCTATTTTGAAGAGGAGTCCTTGCTGAACTCACTTCGTCAACTTGTCACTGTGTCTAGACAAACTTGTTTACTAACAGTTTATTGGTAAAATGGTTGTCACTGGCTAGACATTAACTGATGAAAATGCTACTTAGTACGCTAACTTTGCTTTGTGAGCCAGTTAACGAGAAATTTTATAATGCACAATTTCAGATCAGGATAATTCATATTGCATTATTCTCTTCCAGTCTCTGAGTTCCTTGCATTTCCTTGCACTTCATTGTAGCATTGTTCTACAGGACTACTAGGGTTTGATTCTGAGCTCGTGTAAGAAGCTGTTAATCTATGCTTTGCCTGTCTCTCTCCCACTCAGAGCCGATAGTTTGCAGTGAGTGTTACAAAACTTTTAAAAGGAAAGATTACCTCAAGCAGCATCAAAAAACACATGCTGTGCAGAGGGAAGTCTGCCGATGCCCAAGAGAAGGATGTGGAAGAACTTACACAACTGTATTTAACCTTCAAAGCCATATCCTCTCTTTTCATGAGGAGAAAAAACCATTCTCTTGTGATTATCCAGGGTGTGGAAGAGTGTTTGCAATGAAGGTATGTATTTTACACTGTCCTAATCTGAATCACATAATTTGAAATGATAAACTTAACTCCCTAACTCTTTTTTTTTTTTCCCCCCCCTCTTTTTCTCTCCCCTCCTCTGCTCTTTGTAGCAGAGCTTGGCAAGGCACACAGTTGTACACGATCCTGAAAAGAGAAAGCTGAACTTGAAAGTAAGTTATACTTTTGAAAAAGTCCTCTAAACCATACCCTGTCACTTCAGAGGAGGGTAAACATCACGTTTATGTGTTTTAGAATGCAACTTCAAGCAGGAAAACAGGCCAGCTATCTACTTAATTTGGGAGATTCTTAATTTCTGAAGTTCCTTCAAATAATGCAGTGCTGGCCTATTCATTGATTTCTTCTTTCCCGCCCACATTAGCAGTCTTTGCTCCATAGATATGTTAAGTTGCTAATTCTGGATTTATTTCTGCCAGGCAAAGCGTTCTCGTCCTAAGAGGAGCTTAGCCTCTCGTCTGAGCGGCTACATTCCTCCTAAAACGCAGCCAGGAAAGGATGCAGTTGTGACAGAAAGCAAGACAATGGATAAGCCCATGGAAAACGAAATACCAACTGTTGAAATTCTGACTCTGCAGTAGAGGTTAACTGAGACAACATTCTTTATGGAATGACCAGTGCAAAGCTCAACCATAACTTTATTAAGTTTATAGTTTGTTTTTTTTTAAATAAGACATTAATATTGTTTACACCTCTTCATAAAGTCACTGATGCGACTCATTTGACTTCAGATCTTCATTTTCTTCTTTCTTTACTGTACTGTTTTTCTGTTTTTCCATCTTCTGGTATGCTTTCAACTCTTTGTCAGACATGTGTCTCAAAATACAGGTACTTGCTCCTTCTCTAGTAACTTTCGGCTTGGAAAGATAAGTGGCTTTCTCTGACATAGTCTCCAAAATCTGATCAAAAAGCATGAACTAAAAAGAAGGAGAAAAATAGGACTAAATGCACAAACACAGGTAGAAAAATATTTTGGGCTGTTCTGTTATGACACGATCTCCTGCTTGTGGTTTAGCTGTTAACTGAAACAAGCTAGTTGCTAGTCCTGGTTTGAGCAGTTCAGCTTGTCGTTTCCTAACCATTCATTCTTTACACATAAGCAGGTTTAGGAAAGTCACCAGAGGCATTAAGCCATTTCCTAACATTTAGGCTGAACTCCTGACTCATCGTGTTTTGCTGTTTAAAGGTGTCTCTGAAAGTGGACTGCCTCTGACTCCTCCCCACCCTCCTCTTCCACTAGGTTCAGGCATATTATTATGGGGCTTTCCTCTTAGAGGCACTATTGTTCTAAGGTTAGTAGAATGTGGTAGTATTGAACTAAGTGATACAGTGCATTCATATAACAAGCTGAACTCTTAAGCTTATAATTAAGCTTTTAAATTTAAGGACAACCTAAAGCTGGACTGTGTCATGAAATGTTCTGCTCCCTCCCATATGCAGTTCTTCCTCCTGCTACCTTTTCCCTGTGAATTTAACTTCCTATAAAAAGTTTTGTTCCTTTTGGATGAAGTGGTATCACAAATTTTTCCAGCAACTTAGTAGAGAGAATCATCAAGGAAACCTAATTCACTACACATATTAAGAGGAAAAAGTATCTTACATGGAATCTTTATAAAAAAGGCATTTATGCAAATGACAATGAAGACAAGTCTCAGGGCCCTACAATTATACTAGTAAGTTGCCACCGGCTCCTTAACACCTTTATAGATGTTTACTTTGCCAGTCTTAGAACATCATTCCAGTAGTTTTTCACACAGCAGTGGAAAACTAACCTTAGCCACAGTTGCACAAATGCATCTTCAGAAGAACAGTTAGGTTATTGAAATAATCCAGCTAAAATACAGCAGATATTTTTTAAACCTTACTGTTAAACTTTCCAGTGAGTGAGCTGGCTTAAGGCATAGACAGGAAAATTTCACCAGCCCAGTTAATAAGGTAGTGCTGCAAAGGAGTAGGAATTTCTTAGACTCTGCTCTCAAAACCAGTATTATAACTGGATTCTTAGGAAAGCATGGTATTAGAATTGTCTCTATGGGACTACTTTTCTAGAACTGCAGTGTTTGAACAGATGCAGCTTAGGTGGGGCAACCATTACTTTCATGGGACCTAGACCTTCACTTATTTTAGCAGTACATGATATATTAAAAAAACGTGGCAGTACTGAATAGGGGAAGTTAATACAAGTACACATATTTCATTAAATTGATAGGTGCAACTTCCAGGAGTCCACTTACCATGTCTGTATTGCTATCTTTTGCTTGCCGGATGGTAACTTTAACATGGTATTTCTTTTCAATCCACTGTGCTATCTGTTTAGTCTTGGTCTCTAAGTCGTTCTTGGCAATAGCTGAAGAAAAGGATAACTCCTTCTGAACCATCCCTGTTTAAAACAGAACTAAAACTGTTTTGGCTTAACATCTGACAGACCTGTCAGATCAGCTGCTCTCTTTCAACAGCCTATGGTGCTTTGTCTGCTTAACTCCCTTCCCCCATGCTGCTTTCTCATACACACAGCATCCCAATCTCAGTGTCTCAGCATGCACCGCTACTTGATGTCTCACACTCACTGCCATAACTGGGAGACTGAGTGTGTGTTTGAAGCACACAGGGAAGTCTCTTCAGGGTCAGAAGGCTTAAAGTATTTTTATTTTAATTACAGTTTTGTTCATAATGCAGGTCTAACAAAGATAAACAGGTAAGCATTGGAAATAAAGACGTAGTGTGCAAATTCCTACATTCTGCACATAGTATAACAATGTAAAAGCTTTGAAGTTAGATAGGTCTTCATCTCTAGCCCATTTTCTTGAATGGTGAAGTGCAATATTCAACTGGAAGTATGATGTCTTGTAACATGTTTGAAAAATTGATGGTCTTTTCCTCCTTAAAGATTCTCTAAAGTAGTTACCATTTGAATAATCATTCTGTAGTTTCTTGAACAGAAAACTCACTACCACAGTAGTGCTCTCCTCTAAAATCAGAACTCTACCCAAAGCACAGATACCTTCATTAGCCTGAGGATAAGAAAAGATGATACAAGGTCAGATGCCTTTTCTAAAACCTCTTTGCCAAACTCAGTTTGTTAAACTGTTGGAGCAGGCTGACTTAAGAAAAAACACTGAAAGGTGTTCAATATTGAAAAAGTTGTGTAAGAAAGGGCTCCAGACTTTGTCTTCCTAGCAACAAGCTAGGAAGAGAATGTTTCATGACTGGTGACAAAATTATGTAATTATATTGGTGTATCTGGTGCTCAGTTTGTAAAAACTGCCTGTCACTTCATGCCTTAGTAAAAGAACAGAAATTCAGTGAGTCTTATGGAACCAGAGTCTAGTTATATTCACTTAAATAAAAATAGATTTTAAAAATAAGCCAGCAGATGCCAAAATAGTAAATCTTGAGAAGGCAATAGAAGGCTTCTCTATGGAAGACTAGACTAATGCAAAATTTCATTTTCACCACTGCAAATCCTTCATAGGGTGGACTGCAGGGACATTGCTTTGGATTTACACAAATGCAAGTAAGAGGATTTCATCTGCTGAAACCACTTTTAATGCAGAATTTTTCAAAGTGCTCAGTGTTGTAGTGTCAACAATGTACATACCTGGTTTTGGACTTGCTTTTTTCATCTCTGCACGTTTAAGCTGTTCTTCATGAATCTGCTGCCCAGTCATTAGTCTGTATACAGGAGGTTCTGCATTCTCACGAAGGAGAACTAGTTTCAGGTCATGTTGATCCATAAGTTTGAGTGCCTCTGCTCGGTGCATATTTCCTAAGCTCTCTCCATCCTGGCTGATTACGTGCACAATCCGATAGGGAATTCTTCGCCCAACACTTCCAAATGCTGCTTTCCTTTTTGGTTCTGTGTGAGATTTTTCAGCTGTACAAAATGGTTGAGCAAGTCCAAACACAGTTGACTTTCTAGGGTCAGGTACCACCATCCAGAATGGAGAAAAGACCCTCTTTTGTGGTGTTTGTGTCAGAAGAGTACCAAGGAATCTTTTTGCATATCTATTCTCATTTCTGGTTGCTTGACATAAAAGTTTCATCATGCAAAAGGCAGTCATTCTGAGGAAGCAGGGAAGAAGAAAAAACAAGTTACCCCCATAAGTCAGATTCTTCTAGTTATATTAGAAAGACTTGACTCCAGCTCAGTAAACCCTAGTCCTTATAACTACTCTTTCAAAAAGATGCATGGTGTTACTAATTTTACAGTAACAGAGGGCTTTAACCCAGAGAAAATCTGACAAACAAAATTTATGAATAGTTGATGTTATCTTCAGTATCTTAAAATTTGAGCCTGAACTCCTTTAAAGAATCCAATACTTCTAGTTCATTTCTCCTCACAAGAGTATCTACTCTTACACAGCTTTTTTGTGTAGAAAATTTGCTGTCAAATAAAAAGGCGTGTCATACTTTTAGTATTTTCAGTCCAGATTTTTTTCATGAAGTATCTAACACTAGGACTTTCTTCCTGGTTCTGATACTCTTCTTTGGAAAGTGTTTCATTGAAGCCACATTAATTCAGAACCACCCTAATCACATAGTGGATCAAGTGGCAATTTGTGCAACATCTGTCAGCAGCCATCCCAACATCTACAGTCTGACTCTACTATGTTTTGTAAGGTTTTGGAATTTCAAAGCCTTGACCATACAGAGTAAGACTGCCATGCAGTATCTTCACCTTGGCATTAAAACATGATGAAGTAAACCATTACTATATTTGAAAATATGGTTTATCCCAGGGTTGAAAACACTTCCATAGCTAGCATGCAACTTGCTTCTCGCAGCACTGACCCCAAATTGTGTATTTTTCTCAGTTTTCCAAATGTCATTTTGTGGAAGTAATCCAGCTAGTTACTTGGTCTTATATGAATTCAGCACTGATACTAGTTCAATAACCTTAAAAAAAAAAAAAAACACCAACCAAACAAAAAGTGTCTTCACTGTCTTTTAAGCTCAAGTTCTACTGATTCAGGCATGGTTTGAAGTGAAAACAGTGCCTTAATTTAAAAACTATTTTATTAGACATTTAAAGTACTGATTGACTTTCCCAGTTTTTCACAAACATTAAATTTAGGGTGGCACACTCCTATTTATAGTGAGCTGGTTTTTTCCAGTTATCAAAACTATTTAGATTTCTTACATACAGAAAGCATGCACCTAAGTAGCATTAATTGTTTAGAAAGTGCAATTTACTGTAGACATTTCACCAGAACCATCTAATAAAAACACCGATAATGATGCATTTCTTCTTCTTGAATAATGGAAAAAGCTCGTGGGGAAAAAAGAGAAAAGAGAAAAAAGAAAAAGGAGGAAAAATAGAGACACAGATAAGACTGCAATACATGGACTGGAATAGCAGCAACACATTCATATGCCTAAGATCTGCACTGGCAAATTAAAATTTAAATAAATTGTTACAGACATCTATCCTGGCATGGCACGATGAAGCTACAGACTTTCAAAACAAGCCTCGAAATACACCAATGCTTGAAATTGGAGGACTAGTGAAACTGATCTTTGAGACACTCCTTCCATTACAATTTTTCCCCATTCTTCCCTGGTTCGTGGAATCCCCCTGGCAGTTTTGGTGCACCTGACCATTATTTGCATTTTGTTCAAAACTTCAGAAATCATCCATTTTTTAACAGCTGCAAAAGCTTTAGAAATAAAGAACAAACTGTGGAGTATTATCTGCAGTTTTGGTATTCCATGTTTAAAAGGCAGCAAGTACAGGAAAAGCCAAAGATGACACAGGAAACCAAAAACAGGTCATGCCAGAGGACTTGGCAAGAGTGTGACTTCTTTTGCCTAGGAAGGAACATGACTCCACTCTATAAATATATATGTGTGTGTGTATCATTGTGTAAATATGTATCCATGTGCATACATATACATGGAGAAGGTGCAAACAATCAGCAAGGATAAGGAACTATCTATAATTCTAAGCAGTGTTGGCCCAGGAACAAGTAAAATGACCTGCCTGTGAATAAACTTAGTCTGAAAACAGGGACAGTCTGGAGTCTGGGACAGACTTCAAATTTCAGCAGTAGGGACAAAGCCAATATAAAACAGAGTCTAAAGTAGCACTACCGTCCCTTCCTGCCCTGGGCCCTGCCTCTGTCGAGTCCAGGCCAGAACCACGGCCCCCAGGAAACACAGATTTTTCTCGGTTGTGGTGATGGCCCTACAACTAAACACCCACTGCCAACACACAAGTATCTTTGTGCATCATTGGCGTAGCCACACAAAAGCTGAGTCGTCCTTATTTTTAAAATGGTTTCATAAACCAGCTGTGGATCGTGCACTGCAGACTTACAGACTGTAATCTGGGTATCACTGGTCCATTATAAAATACTATAATTAAATTTATCTGGCATTCAGAAGAGCTTGGCTTGCCTTTGTCAGTTACTGACTTCTAAAACTAAGCAATAGTATCACAGCAATGGAATAATAGTTTATTTTAAAGAAATGTTAGTCTTGCTCTGCTAAATACATGGTTTTGCCTTTATTGTCCTTCATTCTCTGTGGCTATTTAAATCTAATAAATCCTGCCTTAACTGTCTGAGAAAGAAAATGACCCTCTTTATGGAAGGATTTTTCTTCGTATGATAGGGCACGTAAGTGTATTTTGCTTTGTGCGTTTCCATCACTTACAAAGATCATGTATTAGCAAGGGCAGCTGACTTTGCTGGGGGTTCCAATGAGCGGGCAGGCTACAGGCGCACGGGAGCGGCAGGAGCAGCAGTCCGTCCGTCCGTCCGTCCGTCCGTCCTTCCCCCCTTCCTTCCGCGCCCGGCGGACGCCTTTCGCTGCACCCCGGAGCGCCTCGGCGCCGGTGGTTCTGCATCCTGTAGGAGCTGCTGCCCCGCGTTCTCCTGTGCCGTCCCGTGCGAACACATGCCGAAAAGGCGCCGTTTTAATTTTATGCCTGGATTTACGCGGGAGGGGGGGTGAAGGGCCGTGCGCGCATGTG